TTTTATAAGATTTTGGTGACACCTGCAATGCTTTATGTCACAGAATGTTGGCCTTTAAAGAGAAGTATAAAACAAAGTTAAGCATAGTTGAGATGAGAATGCTTAGGTGGATAAGTGGTTTCACACTTGGAGACAAAATGCGAAACCAATCTATCCGTGAAAGAGTTAGTGTAGTTCTAGTGACAGATAATATTAGAGAGATCTTAGATGGTTTAGTCACATTAAACGTCGATCATCTAATGATCCTATTAGGAGCTTAGAAGTTTTAAATTCAACATGTCATGAAAGGCAGAGGTAGACCAAAAAAGACTTGGGCATATTATATAAAAAATGATCTTAACCTATTATAATTGAATGAAAATATGTTGCTCAATAGGATACAATGGAGAAAATGGACTTATGCAGCCGACCCCATTTAGTGGAATAAAGGCTTGTTGTTGTTGTAAACATTAACAGCCAGAAATTGAGTTTAGTAAACATTCCTAAATCAGTGAAAAGTGCAAACCTTATCCAGAAAACTTCACTTGAATATGAACCTTCCAAACAATTTGAAAAATATGACCTCCACTCCAACACAAGACATTCTCTAACCCATAAAATAGGTAATAATGGGCACTAAAGCTCAGTATAAAATAGAGTATGTAATCCTGCAATCATCCCGAATTTTATAATTTTGTGCAAGGAGCCAACATTACCCAAGCAGCCGCTTTCAAAATCATGATAGAACAATGCATTCTTCTTATATTGAAATAAATAAGACAAATCAAGAAGTAAGGACTCGTCAAAAAAATTTATATGACGTCGAATAAGAGGAAACAGCAGGCAAGTGAAAATCTCACTAGTGATATAGATTCAGGTGATAATTTTCTACAACTCCGCATCTTCTTTTGGTACGTTAGGTTGAAACCAAATAAGAGTGCCTTGCTTATTTTGTAAGTCATCACACTCGATTCAGATCGATACTCCACGTCATCATTAAAATCTATCGTTGCAACAGCTACCATCCCATCCAACTCAATCAGGAAATTTAACAGCTCTCCCTACTCAAACCTCTTCAATCCCCAAAACCCACAGATCCACCTCATTAGCAATCCAGCTCACAAATCCATACTGAATCACCTGAACCACTAGCATTAACATTCAAAACCCTACTGAAAGCAATTATCATCCTACAAAATACACAAAACAGCAAAACAAAGAGTTACCGCGTCCTCGGCATTGCAGTGGTGCTTATAGATATCGAATAGAAATCGGCATCTCTCCGACAACCAGCGAACATCCCCACCTTCATCGGTCGCAAACGACACCGCGGCTTGGTGAAGCCGGTCGAGCTCCGACCTGATCGCTTTGTGAAATAACACAAATATCAACATCGGGGAGTTATACACCGAATTGCTCTCTCCAGAAGCCGCCACCGTAGAATTCGAAGAAGAGGAAGGAACCGCAGCGGGATCGATCGAACTCACCGGCTCCTGAGGCATAAGTGCCATGACTCCATCCCCCGCAAATGGCGCCTCCATCTCCGTTAACTAGGGTTTTGGTATCTCTTTCCTCTCCTGCCTTCTTTTCTCTACGCTTTCCTCTCACGAGCTGAGCGCGGAAGCAGAAGAAACCAGAGGCTTCGTTGGGGATGATAATGGGAGGAAAATTTTATTTCAGCGGTGGCGTAATTATGTAATGTCGTATATACCCTTACTCTGTTCAGTAATTTGCAAAGAAGGATCTAGAAGCGGTGGGGAAAAAATTCAAAGTGTAGGGGCATTGGGAGGAATTTTAATTGGTGCCACGTAAGAATGGTACTACGGTCGGCCAGCTTTATGCATATGTTAGCTTTTCTTAAGGATGACACGTGGATTCCATGAAAGTGTGCACCACGTCAGCAGTAGGCTTGGGATACACATCAGTCAGGCGCGCAAAGGGCTCGTCGTGCAAATTTGGTAAAGGGCTTAATTGTCTTTTAACGAGTTCTTAGTCTTAAGCATAATCTAACAAATAGATAATAATACTTTGCTGTAAAATTCGTGTCATATATTCAGTATAAAAAAAAATTATTTATAAATAATTGACATTTACAATTTTATATTTAGTCATATAATATGTAAAAATAGAGTCATTTACATACATTCATATTTATATAGAACTCCTAAATTTTTAATATCACATAAAAAAATATTATGATTATCCAATTTTTAAAAGAAATTGCACCATTTCATGTGTATCAAAATGTTATAATTATAAATACAAATTTGAGGTGCTAATTATATAATTTTTTAAAAATTATGTGGCGTGCATGTAAATTTAACTCAAAATATCATTAATATTAATATTTTT